CACTGCCTGTTGCTGAGGCTACAGAGCCAGCACACTTCTGCAATATCTCGTTGGAACAGTACTTTCTATTCGGAATTTTGTTTTTTTTTTTTTTCACTCACGATTATTTGGTTTATTTGGACTTTCAGCTGCATGGTGCGTACATGTCGGGCCTTCGTGAAGCTGGCCGTATTGCTGATCAGTTGGTCGGATGCCCGTATGGAACTGGATAGAATAGAATATTTGCTTCTGAAAGTTCTTTTAGCGTTGGATTAATAGTGCGGGAGTATTGTCCTGGAAGCATTTATTATGGTTCTTCACACACTTCCAAAAATCACTTGGTAGAATGAAATTGAACATATTTCTTTTTTGCTTTCACATTGTTTCCCGTTGTCTGTATGTAGTAAATCGTGACTTCATCAGATTTCACGATGTGGTAATTTCACTGCCTCGAATGCAGGAGCTTACTCTCCGTTTTTATCTTTTCACGAAAAATTAGCAGTGATTGCCATGTCTGGAAGTAAAGCATCCAGTGGAATTTCATGAAATCTAAGTGGCTTTCCAATTTCTTTCTGTTTATAGTTCTTCACCTGTAAGAATGCATACAAAATGTAGTTTTTAACTCCGAGTTGATCCTTCCCAAGCCCAATTTTACAGTGTGTAGAGGACTGGAGTGCAAGGGAGTAGATACTTGTACAGCGGAATGCCGTAATCTGCGGGAAATTCCACTGGTTTCGTGCTGCGCAATGGGATAGTGAGGTAATCCCGTGAAGTTTTTCACAAATAAAGCGAAACTGCTGAATGTTGAGTTCCTATTCATAGTTTGTTGTTTTCTGAAGTATTTGCCGGGCACTTTTAGAAATTCGCGACAAGCTATGAAATTTGCTCTTCGAGTTGCTGCATCTTACTTGGAGAAAATGCCGTTAGCTTTTCGGATCAAGCTTTGTTTGTTGTTACGTAATCTACTGTTCATTTTAAGTGTAAATTAACTGACTGAAAATAGGTGAAGGAAATGAATTACTGAGTTTTATTTGAAAGGGAGAACTGATGTGAATGATAAGTAACTCGATTTCTGGGGAGAGCAGCTTGATTTTTGGGGAAGGCTTGGTGTGTAAAAACACGGAAAAGTTTTCATCCGCTTTTCTTGCTAAATGAAAATCGCTTTTTACGTTTCGACAGTCGCATGGTGTCCTGTTCAGCCCAGTTTCTTGACAACTTTTTTTATGTATTAACAGGCTTACAGTCCATTTACACACCAGTACGATGTAAATTTTCCGACAGAATCATTCATCATTTTTTTTTTTTTGTACGTCAGTGCTTTGATGGAGCGTAACACCATTTTATTGTGACGGAATGAAACACAAATGTCAACATTTTAAAATTCCATCGAATTCTTCAGACGAGATAGGGGAAAATCACACATGTTATGCTTGATGGAAAATGAGCGAAACTGAATGTGTCACAACAAAACATTGCCTGAAATGAGTAGAAGAGCGCTGCGATGCAGTTAGGCTTTTGCTAGGAGCAGTTCAACCGGTAAACTTCGATTTACAGTTTTTCAGTTGAAGAAAATTGTTGTATTTTCTTGCTTGAATATTCAGAACTGAATTTTTCTTTGCCATTTTGCGACGGGTGAAGCCTGTCTTCGCCCCTACCACTTTCCTAACTGCATTTTTAGCTGCTCATTTTCCGAGATTCACTGGTATCCGTCAATACATTTTGTGATCATCGCAAAAGGCACCATACAAAAAAAAATCTCAAAAAATATCACAAATAAGTTAGCAGAACTGAAAAAACATTATACTGTAATTCTAGAGAACACACCTACTTTGCTAGCCTACGAAAGAACGGTTGTTCTGTGTAGTACATCTTCCCAGTCAATGATAGTGTTCACCGGAATTTGAAATTGAAATAGAATTTCAACGCTTTTGGACGATTAGGACTTTTTTAGATCTAAAATGTATTGTGAAAATTTCGTTTTTATATATAGTGTTGTGCATATAACACTTTGTTTAAGCATATTTTATATATGACCGTATAAGCATATATAATTTATATTCACATAAATTTTTGCTTATTTTGGAATTCTCATGTATTTTGTCCATAAAAACCTTCATTTTTTAATTTGGCGTCGCCATGCACCCGTGAAGTCTGTCCGCGTTTTGACTCGGACTAGTTAATATCTGTAATTGCTGTGAAATTCATATCCAGCGCCGTGAATGTCACTATGGAAGTCCTCGTCATCGTAGTCATCGAAGCCATGTTTGTCCTCACGTTGCGCCATTTGACGTTGAGATACGTTCTGCATCGGCGTTGGTCGCGGCGGTTCCTGGTACATCCCTGGATTCTGAATTGGCTCATCGTACTGTACCTGGAAATTTCACTCGGCTTTATTTGTGGTTGCATTCGCATATTTCTTCTTAGCGTTATTAGTTTGCATTCGTTACTGTGCTTGCTCATAATTCTTAAAGTTTACAAGAGCTTATGAGAATTGAAATTGCACGTATCTCAAAGTTCTGCGTTTGTTAGCGCTGCTTTTCGAGTTCTTGTGTTTCGCTTCTCTCAATGAACAACGGCTCGAGTAATCTCGTGCATTTCGTAGAATAAAGTTAGTGCAAAATGTCATTCGTTTCGTGGCCTTGTTGTAATAATGAATATAACGCTAACTACCAAACACTTATAATTGGATATTTTGAAATTGAGGTTACATTTTATAAATAAGTAAACAAGTGAATAAGGGAATAAACAAATGAACAAATCAGCAAGTGAATAAGTGATTAAACAAGTAAATAAACAGGCAAATAAATGAATTAAATATGTAAAAAAGTTAATAAATGGATGACTAAATTAAAAAATAAGTGATAAATATGTGGGTAAATAAATAAGCAAATGGGTGGGCAGAAAAGTAAATAAATAAGTAGATAAACAACCAGGTAAATGTGTGAACTAAGAAGTAAATAAACAAGTAGATAACTAAATGAATAAGTAAATAAACGAGTAAACAAGCCAGTAAATAAATGACTGAATGAATAAATATATATGTTAGTTGTGCACAATAAATTAGTAGAACAGAAATGTTCCCGGTGATTACGATCTTGCTAAGCTAAGGTTTATAAGTAGTGCTGGAGCTGTTGCTAATCCATCCCACGGCTAGCTTTTCGCAATTTAATCAGTAAACACTTTTCAAAGCTACATACCGGAGGCAGATTGATCGTCGGAACACGTTGTTGTTGCGGGCTTCTCTGTTGTGCTGGCGCTTGAACATTCATGTTTGGCGAACCGACTATTGATACTGATGGTGATTGGCCACCCATCCCTGTTAAATAACGAAACTGCACTCACGGAAAAGCAAGGTATCTTACCATAAGGTTTTCAAATTTCTTGTTTTTTGAGAGTGGAATTTTGAAGTGGAACTTCGCATTTCTTAGCGCTCCAGCAAATGGTCTGCCAATTTCTTTGTCTGATTTTCGAATACCGTATCTTGGGATGAAGGAAAAAGTTTCCTCGCAAATATCGGTGGCATCGCTCACGAAGTTTTGCTGCTTTAAACACATAAAGCTAAAGTACCCTGCATCATTTGTGAAGGTGTGAATAGCGTTGACGGTCCTCGATTCTCCATCGGATTACGCTTAATTCGAGGAGGTGATTTGACAGGTGGATGTGTCGCTCTCCAGTACGATTCCAGGTAGTCGGCCAGATGCTCGCATGCATCCTCCAGTTGATTCTCGTCTAACAAAACATCAAACATTTCCTGCAATAACTCAAGTTGTAAGTGCGGGAAGAGTAATCAAAAGTGAATGAATTTCAGTGACACGACTGTCTTGCCAACTTCGGTGTCGTGTTTCTTACTCAGACATGCAAAATCATAGCATTTTCAAACCCCGATATGTCCAGCCAAGGTTGCATGTCAGAATTTTCCAGGAAAAGATGAAAGAAGTGAACAAAGGGACTTCAACTTGAGTTGTGGCAAATTCAGCTGAGAACGAGCGAGGACAGTACTGGAGGCTCTAAAATCAATTCTAAAAGTGGCTGTAAAAGGAGGAATCGGACAAGGAAAAAGGCTGGAGCAATTCCTGTCAAAAGAGCGCCATTTTAATTAAAAGATATGAAATTTTTTAAGCTTTCGTTTTGGCTGAAACAAATGCTTTGGGT